AGGAGGAGGAGTCAGCAGGGATGGGGAGGACAGTCACAGTGGGGATGGGGGGACGGTCACAGTAGGGGAGGATGGTCACAGCGGGGGAGGAGGAGGATGATCACAGTGGGGGGGAGGACACTCACAGTAGGTGAGGATGGAGACAGCAGGGGAGGGGGAGGACGGTCACAGCGCGGGCGGCGGCGGCGGGGAGGGCGGGCGGGCGCCCCCACTGACCTCGCACCTGCTGCTCCAGGGTGAGGATGACCGACACGGCCTGGTGCAGGATGAGCAGTTTGGTCTGGGGCTTCTCGCTGTTGAGGTGCAGCTGGCACATGCGCCCCAGCTCCTTAAAAGCCTCATTGATGTCGCGCACCCGCAGCCGCTCCCGCGCGTTATTGGCCACGCGGCGCTCCTTCTCCCGCTCAGCCTTCTGCTCTGGGGGGAGAAGGTCGTCCTCGTCCTCGTCCGGGCTACGGGGCCGGGGCCAGAGGGAGACAGTGAGGCGCGGCCTCGCGGGGGGCGCGTGTGCGTGCGTGCGCGTGTGGTGTGCGTCCTGGCGGGGCGGGGCGGGGGGGGCGGCACCTGGTGCGCGGCCGGGGCGGCTTCAGCTCCTTCTTCTCGTCCTCCGCGGGGTCGGCCGCCGACGCGTTCTCGTCCTCCTTCTCCTCCCGCTTGATCTCGCCGGCGCCCGACGCGGCGCCCGCGCGCCCGAGCCCTGCAACAGGCCCGGGTGAGGGCTCGGCCAGGCGCTCCGGCCCCCGGGTGAGGGGCGCGAGCTCTCCCGGACGGCCGGGCGGGCCTTGCTCTGCGAAACCGAAACCTGCACCCCTGCCCCAGGCCCCACGCCGGCCCCGATTCCACAGATTGAGACCTGAGACGCAAAGGGCGACACGACAGACTTTAGGAGAAGCATGGAAATTTCACTGCCACTCACGGCCGGGGAACCACTTCTTAAAATACTAAAGAGCCCTTCTCAAAAGAGCAAACAAATCCACAAACTGGACTCTGTCAAAATGGAGAATTTCTGATCACCAGGATGTCACCAAGAAGATAAGCCACAGGATCCCAGGACAGAAGACACGCGTCACGTGTAAACCAACAAAGGATGAGGCCCAGAATATGTAAAGAGCTCCTCCAAATCAATAAAAAAGGGACAGACAGCCCAACGGGAGACAGGCAGAGCACCCGAACGGGTGTTTCACAGACAAGGAGACAGATGTCGCCACGTGGAAATCTACTTCATCGCTTCAGGAGGTTGAGAAAACGTGAATCAGGACCCAGCGCGCTGCGTTTCACCCCCAGTAAGTCGGCTAAATCGAGAGGCCTGACGATTCTAAGGACTGCTCCTGGGAGGGCATGCTGGCCCGACCACTCTGGACAACGAGAATTTTCCAGATTCGGGCGTTATCTGGAAAAGGTGGACATGTGCATACCTGGAAATTCTACAACTTGGAATCACAACTGAGAAACTCCTGCACACCTGCACCAGGAGAACATTCCAGAATGTTCTGGAAAGCACCAACACAAAAGCACAGAGTGGCAAATGCCCTAATCTCCCAAGTCAGGGCCAAGACCCATCCTCAGCCCCTTGAAGCACAGCAGACCCCACACCCGATGAACACGAGCAGACAGGCGTGGAAGAACATGCAGCCGGAGATCCACTACAGAGCTGCAAAGCCATGAAAACACAGCGTGTGGTTTAAGGGCCACGGCCACACTGAACCCAACCTCACAAGACGCCAGCCGGGTCCCCCTTCAACAGGGGACCCGGAAGGAAGGGAAGGGAAAGGGGGGACCTGGAATATAACAGCACAGGGTCCCCCTTGGCACTGCTCCCATCAGGGACAGGTCACTCTCGGGGGGGCATCCCTGGCCCCCACCCACTCGATGCCAGGAGCACCCCCAGTGTGACAACTACAGATGTCCCCAGACATTGCCCAGTGTCCCTGCGTGAGACCACTGCTGTGCGGTGACACCATCGAGAAGCACGGGGAAGCACCGACTCTACAGTGAGGCTGGTTTGGGGCTGCGGGGGAGACGGGGAGGGTCCCCAGGCACGGGAGGACCTGCCCTGATTTGGGTCGTGTGGTGGGTCCCCGGGACATAGAACGTTAGGCAGCATTGCTGCGTACGCGTGTCACATTAGTCATGTGTTGTGGTGTACCTGTCACAAGGCTGATACGGGGGTGGGGTGGGGGCGGCCAGGCTCAGCCACGCCCGGCTGGGAGTCCCCAAACCCTCTCTGGGCATTGGTCTCCCCTGCTGTAGCAGGGCCAGCATTAACGGCCCTGTGGGACTGGCCCCCGAGAGACCCAGGTACCCGCTCCCAGTGGGCGCTGAGCCCTGCCCCGCACCCGCCTCCCCTCCTCGAAGGCCTCCTGCCAAGCAGACAGCGTGCTGCTCACCAAGGGCCCCCCGAAATGTGCTGTCACTTCTGCAATCTTGAAAGAAGCTCTCTCTTGACCTCACCCCCCTTGCTATGCCGACCTCTCTGCTCCCCTCGACGGCAACGCCCAGGACTCCACTAACGCCACCCCGCCCCGGGCACACGACCCCATGTGGGTCCAGCCTGGGTCCTCCTCTCGGTGTCCAGCACAGTCCACCCTCCCCCACCTCCCGCAGCCACCTGTCCCCGCCCTGACTCTGCTCCACCTGGTAACCCTGTACAGGGTCCCGGCTCTAAAGTCCACCGTGTGCCAATGACACTGGACCCCACCCTGAGCTCCAGACACGAATCCCACCACCTCCCCCACATCTGCAAACCCTGGGGGCTCCACCTTCACAACACCTAGACCCCCAACCACCGCTCGCCCCTCTGTGGCCCCTGCCCCGGCCAGCCCCCACCATCTGCCCCCATCATCGCCCCCCGGACCAGCGCAGTCCCCTCCCCCCTGGTCTTTGGCTGCCGCCCTCACCCCAATCTGTCCTCCCCGCAACCCCCACCAGAGGGCGCCTGTGACCCCCCCCCCCCAAGTCAGGTCCCCCCTCCTCTGCCCACAGCCCTCCAGGGCTGCCGCCTCCCTCGGGGGAGAAGCCCACATCCTCCCTGCGGCCCTCCAGGCCCCGCACAACCTGCCCTGTCCCCTCCCCACTATCCCTGCTCCCTCTCTCCCCCTGTTCCAGCCACACGGGCCTCCTTGCTGTTCCTCCAACACGCTAGGCCCAGTCCCGCCCCAGGGTCTTTGCACGGGCTTCCATTAGGTACTCTCCTGCATTCACTCATTTTCAGCTCTGCTCAGATGCCAATCTTGCCCCTCATCTTTAAAACTACAACCCCCTCCTCTCCACACTTCCTCCCTGGCAACTGTCCATCTACCCCACTAGCACGTCACCCCCTAGGAAGGGCTAATTCCCTGTTTTTCCCCAGTGCCTAGAGAGGCCCCAAGCACACAGCTGATGTTAAGTACACAGGTGTCGGGTGAACTCGGTTAAGCAAACCGTTGAACGAATAAAGGAAGAGGTGGGGGCCACGATGGCCCACAGTATTGCCCACTGAGGCTGCGCCCACAGCACACTGGGCCCCGCCTCCCTTCCAAAAGGAGCTGACCACTGACCCTGCCGGCCTCTCCGGGCCGCTAGGAGTGTCTGCCAGTGACTGTGCCTGCCCGGCCCCCACCCAAGGAGCAGCAGGACCCCCCACCCCCGCTGAGATCCTGGGCGCCTGACCCTGGTGGGGCTTTCTCAGTCACACTGTGCCTCAGTGTCCTCAACTGGAAACGGGTAGGACCCAGTCCCGAGCCCGCAGGCCACTGTGAGGGTCTGGTGGGTATTGTGGGGTCCAAGCCCCAGGCCTGTGCACGGCAGAGTGCAGACGCTCAGGCTGGCCTGGTGGTTCTCGGTCCCTCCGTGACGAGGCCTCTCTGCCGTCGCTCAGAGGGACATTGCCACCCACCTGCCCGCCCGCGCCCTGCCTAGGGTGCTGGGCACAAGAGACCCCGCGTGTAGGCCGCCCCCACGCTGGGGCTTACCGCTGTAGGCGTTGGGCGGCCGAGGGAGGTCGGGGAGGGCGCTGGGCTGGCCGGGCAGGGCCACGTGGTTGTGCAGGAGGCTGCCGCTGCCCGCAAGGCCGTCCTCCGAGTGGCTGCCTCCCACCTGCGGACAGGAGTGGCCGTCAGGGCTGCCCGGGCCCCGCCGCCCGCCTGGCCCTGCCCGCCCACTTGGCCCCGCACTCACCAGGCCGCCGTGCCGCCTGCCCAGCGGCATGACAGGGCCGGCAAAGCCTGAGGCCAGCGCCCCGTGGCCGGGCAGCAGCCCGTGCACGTCGCCCGCTGTGCCCACGGCGTGGCTGCGCAGCACGTGGATGGCCTCGTCCAGGTGGTCCTCCATCTTGTTCTGCTGCGGGGGGAGGGGGCGGGGGGTGAGGGGTCTGGGCCCCCGGGACCCCGGGCAGCCCGTGGCCCAGCTCGAAACGTGAGCCTTCGCTGGTCACAGGGCCACGTGACAGCTCTGGCCACCCCAGCTCTGGACCTTGTTCCCAACACGTTAACTGAGAAGTTCGTTCTCGTCAAAGGGCCGTCTGTCCCACTGCAAGTTCTGCTGCTGGCACGGGACCCAACAGCTCTCAGGGGACAGGGTTTCAACGTCATGTGAAATGTGGCCACCGCACACACACGGAGCTGCCCCCACGGGCCCCGGGAACGAGTGTCCCTGTGTCTGTGCACACACACCCCCCTTCCCGGGCGCTCCCACGAGGGCGCCCCCCTCCTCACCCCGCACGCCCACTGGGGCTGGCCCCACCCGGCTGGGCAGGAAGCTCACCAGGCTGTGGAGACCCCCGTCGTAGCTGGGCGATAAGGCACCAGGGGCTCCCGCTCGGGGCCACTGCGACGTCCCTGGAAGGGGAGGAGGCGTGGATGAGGAACTGGAGGCAGGGTGTCCACGCAGCCCGGCCCAGGGAGGGAGGGGCTTCAGGACCACGGGGCAGGGAGCACGCTGGGAGCCTGCGACGTTCCATGGCCACACGGGGGCGCCCACGCCTGCAGAGCTGACCCCAGGGCCCAGAGGCCTGCTCTCAACCCGGCATCTCAGCGCTGGCGGCCACGCGGGCCCGCTGGGGACCCCGGAGGTCTCGGGCTTGGGTTTAAATCTAGCTCCTCGCTAGGCTGGGGTGCGAACCCAGCGGGTGGGTTCACGTCTCTGAGCCTCAGTTTCCCCGTCTGCAGAACCCATCCCCCACCTCTCCCAGGAGGAAGGCGGCTCTGCTGCACACAGTAGGTGCCCTCGAGGCCGGCTCCTCCATGCCCCACAGGGAAGTGGCCGGCCAGGGGGACCGCAGAGACCAGGGCAAGGAGAGGACCTGCTGGTCTTTTAACGAAATCCCACAGCCTCCCAGAAACCTCCCCAGCTGATGCCGTAAAAAAGTGCACCCTTCCGGGGACAGGAGGACCAGCCCCCTTGGCAGAGCATGCAAGGTACATAAGGCATACAGCTGGTGCCTAATACCTGCGGCGTGAACACCAACGTGTGTGTCTGTTCCTGAGCCCAGGCCCAAACCACGAGCCTGCAGTTCTGGCCCCGCTGGGTCCTACCTGCCCCTAGGCTCATGTGGTGCAGACCCCCACATCCTGCCTCCTGCCTGGCCTTTGCCACGCAGTGACTTAAGAGCCCTGGCTTGGAGGCCACCTCCTCCGGGGAGCCTCCCTGGATGCCCAAGGGAACGTGAGCTCCGGGGCGGGTGGTCTGTCCAGCTCCCCGCCCGCCCACCGAGAGCTGCAGGCACCAGACGCACCCCCTCCGCAGCACCCCACACAGACCTGCCAGGCCCTGGGGGGAGCCCACGGGGGTCGAGGGGCTGGACGAGAAGTTATTGCTTGAGTGATCCGGGGAGTAGATCTGCAGCGGGCACGAGGAGAGACAGGCGACAGGGTGGCTGGTCAGGGCCGGCCTCATGGGGTTGCCACCCCGCCACCCGCCGTGCCCCGAGCCTCACCGAGGCCAGCGCCTTCCCAAGGGCGTCCCCGGAGCTGCTGGCCGTGGTCCCGCGGGAGCCTGTGGGTGGAGAGAGGTCAGGCCCGACCTCGGGGATCCATCCAGCTTGGATGCCCCAGCTGATGGGGAGCTCCCTCCTGCGCTCAGCTGCCCAGCTCTGGTAAGCCCCTGGCTTTGCTCTGGTTTCTGCCTGATGACTCCCCACCTGCCTCCACAGAAGCTCGGGGAAGGCGGGCTGCAGGACCCCAGGCGAGCGACTCCCGTCTCTGGGCCTCAGTTTCCCCACCCCCCACAGAGCTGTCTCCAGACATCTGAGACAGGGTCTTGGGAGCCAGAGCCCACAGCCGGGGCGGGCTCGGGAGAGGGGGATGTTAACAACAGCCGGCCCCAGCAAACTTCTGCGCCTGCCTGGGTCTCAAGTTCATGGGGCAGCATAGGGGTGGGGTGAGGGGGCCGTACCCATGAGGCTGTCGGCCCCGCTGATGGGGGGTGTGGGGCCGGAGACGCTGCCGTAGGCGGCCGCGGGGGCTGAGGAGAAGGTGGCCACGGCCGGGAGCCCGCCGTTCACCTCCGCGCCGTGCAGCTGGTAGCCCTGCGGCAGGACGGGGTCGAGGGTCAGACGGGGCGCCACCCCACGCCCCCACCCCCCATCCTCCCCACCCCTCGGGGCTTACCAGGCGCTCGTGCTGGTGCAGGCCGCCAAACCCGCTGCCACCACCGCCCACGGAGCTGCCACCACCCGGCGGGAGGGGCAGGGGGGACGAGCCCCCACCCAGCATGGGCCCGAAGCCCGCCTGGCCCGAGGGGCTCCAGAGCTCAGCCGAGGGGTGCAGGGTGCCATCTGTGGAGAGGGGAACCGTGAGGGGGCAGAGGGGGACCAAGGGGGACAGTGAGGGGGAGGGGGGACCATGGGAGCAGGGAGAAGGACCCCGGCCGTCCTGGGCGAGCCCCCCGCACCTGCCATGTAGAAGGGAGAGGGGTAGGCGCTGCCAGGGGTCTTGGCAGACGGGTAGGCAGCGGCGTCCCTGCCGTAGTCGTCACCTGAGCTGGGCGGGTACACCTGCGGGCAGGGGGGCGGGCACGGTCAGGGCCGGGACTGACCCACCCCCAGCCTTGCCCTCCACGTGGAGGGCAGTCCACCACCTCCCCATTTCCCGGTGCTGTGCTAACGCTGCCCCTAAAACTACCCCTTGGCCCAGCATTCGAGGCTCTGGATGCGTTGTCATCTCTCTATTCTTTCTCTTCTGTCCCCACCTCCTGCTCCCCCCAAAGTTCCAGCCTCTCGCACCTGAGGCCTTTATAGACTAGATGCCCTACGCAGAAGGTCTTTTCCCTCTTTCATCCAGCAAACTCCTAGTCATCCATCAAAGCCCAGCTGTGACACCCCCAGCCCCTCCTTCTTCTTTGTTCCCCCAGTGCTGGAACCTCCCATGGCCCAGCCTGATCACATGAGGCCCCGGGGCCTCGGAGGCAGGGCCCTGGATCAGTATTCTGCCCCGGCTGCCCCAGAGCCACAAAATGGCAAATGGGTTCCAGGGTTAGCGCCTAGCAGCACGGGGCCAGGCAGAGAGGGCAGTGGCAGCCAAGCCGGACTATCCAGCAAAGTGCTTTTCCTTCCAGCGATTAAATTGCAGACCCCAGCACCACGAGCTACTCAGGGCCCTACCAACCACAGGCAGCGGGTTGGGAAGGCAGGCGGCTTGAACCCGGGTGGATGACACAGGGATGGCAAGGGAGCCCAGGCGACCCTGGGCAGGGCGGGGACCCTCTCAACCAGCCCCCAGGGCGCCCCTGCCGGCTACCACTCCCGGGACCCCCACCCACCCCTTTCTAAGGCCTCAAACACAGGAAACAACCTTCTCTTAAAGCAAGAAGGACCCAGGCTAGACCCAAGGAAGAACTGCCCCGACCCCCTCGGAGGTGGTCTCTGGTCAGAAGTCCAGCTAAGCCCATGGGGGTCTGGGCTCAGAATCCACGAGGGGCCTGCCCACACTGCCCACACGTGGACCCACACGCGTGTTCCGGGCTACAGGAGCACACGCAGCCCAGCGCCCACTGCTGTGTTGTGTGGCCTCCAATGGGGAGGCCCCTGAGCCTGTGGGGTCCCCACTTTGTCCCATGACTCACCGAGGACGGGAGACCCGGAGGCACCTTCCGGACTTTCTTGGGCTGCGAGTCTGTTGGGAGTGAGAGGAGTGAGCGACCCCGTCTGGCCTGGTTCCCACCCCACCTGCTGGGGACACGGGGGGCCCTTCCTGGCCCCGGAGACACGCCTGCCACGGGGGGCAGTCAGGAGACAGCCCCACCCTGCGCCTTGGAGAAGAGACCCTTGAACTTCACTTATAATAAAATTCTTTAAACGAGGCCTCGGGTGCACCTGCTGGCTCTGAAGACGTGCAGGAACCGTGGGCGGGGGGCCTGCAGTAGACAGTGCCCCCCCGCCGCCTGCCCCCAGCCTGCCTCCCCTGTACAGCGGTCCTCACTGTCCAGACCCCGAGCGTGCAAATCCACCCACCTGCTGAAACCGGGGGCCCCCGACCCCTTTCCTCAGTGTTTTGCGGTCATTCAGACGCGTGCACAGCGGCGCTGGATATAAACCCCCGCGCACACGTGCCCAGCTGGCGGGACCAGGCCTGCGTCGCTTTGTGCGAGCCCAGGAACCCAGGCCCCTTCTCGTGTCTCTGTGGGGGCTCTGCTGTCTAAAGTGCCCCCACGCCCAGAGCTGAGGTGCCGGCCAGCCCGAGCTCGGGGAAGCCACGCGGGGCCGCACGGGGAGAACACGTGTGTGCACCAGCGTCCTTCCGGCGAGCGTCACGGGCTGGCCGTGAGCTCGGCGGGGGTAGCCGGCCGTGTACACAAGGCGTTTCTAGACGGATACAAGGTCATGTACTGGCCGATGGGTTAATGAGAATGTTGTGAGCAGAGGCTGCGGCGCCCTCAGACCACGACCCCTACGGACAGCGGGACAAAGTGCCCGCGCCCCTCTCCCGGCCCGCCGCCCGTCCCTCCCGCCGCCTAGCCAGGACCCGGAGGGGGGTCCCACAGCAGGCCGACCCCCTCCCTGCCCCGCCCCCGCGCCCCTGCCCCACTCACCCAGGCCGCTGTCCGCGGCTCTCCGCCGAGCGTGCCCGGGGTAGGAGGAGTAATACTGGGAGCCGCCCTTGACGGCCGACGGGGACAGCGGCCCGGGGCTGCTGAGGGCCAGCTCGCTGGGCAGAAAGCCGGCCTGCGGAGGAGGGGGGTCAGGGGGCATGAGCTGGCGTGTGGCCCCCTGGCCAATTCCGGGTAAAAAAACACACAAGCGCGAAGGTGGAGGCCGAGGGGCGGTCCAAGGGGTGACGGGGACCCTGCAGGGAGCCCTTCCCGCCTCTCAGCTGCATCTCTGCAGACACCCGTCGTATGTCTCTGATGCAAAACAGGCGCTACAGCCTGTGAGCTACACGGCCATTTCCGCGAAGGACAGAGACCACGGAAGAGACGCCGTGGCCCAGCGGCCTGTGGACGGCCCGCTCCGGGACGCTCGACGTGCACACCCGCGTCTGGTGTCGGTGGAACCTGCCTGTTTCACTCTGTGAGCGTCTTTCGTTTTTCTGCAGGTGAACACTCTAACTCTGCACAGATCAGTTGGAAACGGGCTTTGTTCCCTCGGGAACAGGAGTCCTGGGCTCACGCGAGGGGCGCCCGCCACCTCGGCTCTCCCGTCTGTGAAATGGGCACGGCGGCCACTCCCACAGCTCAGGGGGCCTCGTGGGGACCGAAGGGGGCCATGCGAGTTCTGCCCTGGGCACAGGGCCTGGTACCCAGCTGGCGCTCAATAGCTGCGCCTGCTGCCACTCTGGCTTGGGCCCGGTGTGCACACAGGCAGTGCCACCTGGGACAAGGCCCAGTGTACTCCGAGATCTGGGAGCTGCAAGTGGGGACAGGAATGAAACCCTCGGGCATGGGGGGTGACCAGGACAGGAGGCCATGCTAAGACCACTGTGGCCGGCCACCGCTCCTGTTGGCCTCACCAGGCAGGCGTCGGGGAGAATTTCGCCCCAGGGGGAAGAGGCAGCCTGTGGGGCAGGCCCTCTGGGAGGGCACGGGGCTGCCGGGATGGCCTCAGTTTCCCCGCCTGTTCCTTGGGGGTGGGCGGTGTCTATTGGAGCCCCTCCGGCTACGCACGGCGGCCCCAGGCTGGACCCCTGGAGGGGGCTGTGGGACGGGAGCCGTGGCCTCCCCGGCCTCCCCCTCTTCCCCGTCACAGCCAGCTGGCCCGGCCTGGCCCAAGGCCCGGGCCTATTTCAGACGCTGCTGGAGAGTGGCCAGTGCTCGGCTCAGCCAGCGAACCTCTTGCAGGTCAGGGGAGGAAACTGTGATGAGTTCATTTAAAATTAAAACCCACGGGCAGGCCCCGTGGCTTAGCGGTTAAGTGTGCGCGCTCCGCTGCTGGTGGCCCGGGTTCGGATCCCAGACGCACACTGACGCACCGCTTCTCCAGCCATGCTGAGGCCGCATCCCACATACAGCAACTAGAAGGATGTGCAGCTATGACGTACAACTATCTACTGGGGAAAAGGAGGAGGATTGGCAATAGATGTTAGCTCAGAGCCAGTCTTCCTCAGCAAAAAGGGGAGCATTAGCATGGATGTTAGCTCGGGGCTGATCTTCCTCACAAAAAAATAAAAAAATAAAACCCACCCCCCACGCGGGGAGTAAAAGGGGGAGGTCGAGCCGTGACTGCAGCCCCCACATTGGTCGCCCCCCAGTCCCCCCACCTGCGCTGCCGCCCCCAGGATGGAAAACGGGGTGCTGCCCACTCTGTGCCCTGCAGACCGAGGCTGCTGATGACCCGGCCGCGGCCCCCGCCCCACAGACGCGGGCCTCACCTGAGTCAGGCCGCCAACCCCTGCGTCTCTCCCGAAGGCAGTGTACGTGCTCCGCTCGCCACCCTTGCCTGGAGAAGAGGAGAGAGGGTCACTTGGAGCCGACCCCAGGGACAGTGTGTCCCGAGGGGCTGACCCCACACCTGGCACATGCCTGTATACAGCAGGCGCTCCATAAGTGCATAACACCAAGAAAACCACAGTGTGATACTGGCCTCCCCATCTGCCTGAGGGACAAGCGGGGGTCCCACCAGACGCTGTCCTGAGATGACGCTCAGAGGATTCTGCACACCCACCAGGGCCCCCCACATGGCCCGTCCCTGGGGAGGGACAGCACTGCCTCAGTCCCCACTGCCCTCCCCGAGCCTTGGTTTCCTCTGTTCAAGGTATGAGGTGTCGCCTCCCCAGGGCGCTGGGCTCCCAGGGGAGAGGCCGGGGTCCCTGGCGTCTGCACAGTTCAGCGCCCAGGGCCTCAGCTCCACCCCCGGCACCCAGCCAGTGGTTAGCTCATAAATGAGCACGTGACATCCCTGGGGATGTCGATTCAAGTGACTCAGGGAGAAGGGGCCCTTCTGTGTGGGAGGGTGAGACCTGGGGCTCTGGGGAGACAGCCTGACAGAGAGAGCTGCAGGCATGCTCCCGAGACTGCATGGACGCCTGGATCCAGCCTCGCCTGAAGCAGATCGTTGCATCAATCAGCACCTGAGCCATCTAAGTCTGTTCCTAGCTTAAGCTGGGCACCAATCTTGACTGAGGGTGGACCATAACCATCCTTGCTATGAGCGAGGAAGCAGAACACTCGGCTGACTGGTTCGCATTATTCTCAAACCAGCAGAAAAAATCTCCCGTTTTCCTTACTTTAAAACGACAAGGATTTCGACTAGACTCCTGGAGCAAATGCTGCTGGGGGGCGGGGCTGGAAGAGGCCTCACAGGGCCCACGTAGGGGTGAACAAACCATGGCCTGGAGGCCGGGGGGGTTCGGCCCCAGTCCAGCGAGTGAACGGGGGTGACAGCAGCGCTTCCTTCCTCCCAGGCTCAGCGTGGGAAACAGCCGGCCGGCCCTGCCAGGGCCCTGGGCTCAACCGGGGAAGTGGCTCCCCTGCGAGACGGGGCTGCGCCCCTCAGGGCTGCTGTGGCTCAGGCCCTGCATACAGGAGGCGCCAAAGCGGGGTCTCCCGAGAGGAAGGATGAGGGCACAAGGAGAGGAAGCTGAGCTTCTGGGCGGGGACCTGCGGGGGCCATGAGCTCCACGGGCATACAGCAGGCTCCTAACCCACGCACTAGGCCCACACATCAGGGCGTGAGGACGGGACGAGGGCAACCGCGAGGAAGAGCTCACAGGGTCTCACGGGGAGCCAGACCGGGCCGGGGCAGCACAGGGACAGGCTGACCCCACCCCTGGGCGCAGGGCACTCGCCGCCTGCTGCCCTGTGCTCGGCCTGGGCTCCGCGCTGCCCTCCCTGAGCTCCTCGGCCGCAGGGCGTGCGGCGGCCTGGACGCAGCTGGGCGCTGGGCCCTGCTGACCGGGCTGACGTGGGAACTGCCCGTGCAAGGAAGAGGTGGGAGGAAGGAACAGGGGGGAACCGCGTGGCTGCAGGGGCCACCCCGGGGCATGGGCAGGGCCGGCCTTGGCCTGCTGGTCTGGGAGGCGGGCATGACCTCCCTCACACGCAGAGGGCACCCGGACTCGGCCCTCCGTCCCCCTTTCACGCAGCTCCTCTTGGGCCACGTGCACCCATCCACCTCTGACTGCACGTCCAGTCCTGGCTCAGCAGGCGGCGTCCCCTCAGGGTCCAGGGCCAAGGTCGGGCCCCAAACTCTCCAGACCCAGTCTCCCCATCGGTCAGTCTGCTCCCCCGCGGCCAACCCCCCGACACGCCTCTGCCTGTAAACCGCTGACGACGGCGTCGCAATGAACCCACTCCCCCCGGCTCTCAGGGGACGGACCCCGAGTCTCGGGACCCCCGAATCAGGAACTAAAACCCCCTGTTCACGGCCCAGGCTCCGAGGCGGGAGCTGAGCTGGGCAGCCAGCCCCCGGCCCCTCCTGACCCCCCGAGAGGCCAGTTTGCGGTCACCCCAATGCTCCCTTGGAACGGGGGTGGGGCGGGGGCCGCTGCAGTCAGCCAGCGGGAGGGACGGCGCCCAGGACAGCCGTCCAGGCCCCAGTAGTCCCGGAGGTCGGAGCCTTGACCAGCCCCTGACCAGTCAGACTCCTGGACAGGCCCCTTCCTGCTGAGCCTCTGGCTGCTCATCTGCAGGAGGGGGGCGGCCCGTGGGGCCGGGCGAGGCCTCACCACCTGCTCCACGAGGGTTCCGAGTCCCTGTCCACGGGCGGGAAGCCAAGGCTCGAGGGGGACGGCCCTCACCCCGGCTGCCCGAGGCCTCATGCCCGTGGTCAGGATGCCAGCCTCGGGAGGGCCCAGCCGGGCTCTGACCACCGCCCTGGGCGGCCAGGCCTCCGAGTCCACGTCCTGGCAGGCACCTGGCCAGCCCCCATGGGGGTCCAGGCCGTGTCCACGCTGCGCCCCGAGTGTGCTGACCGCCTCCCGGGGACACTGCGTACGTGTGTGGGGGGGCCCTGCTGCGCGGACACTCACCTCCCAGCCCGGGGCCCAGGAATGTGGACGAAGAGAGGCCACCGTGGGACTCGCTGAAGTGGGCGCCTTCACCGTAGGTCTGCGGAGAGAGGCGAGGATGAGGGGTGCGGGGGCCCCGTCCACAGCTGGGGACCAGGCAAGCCCGGGAGTGCCCAAGTCAAGACGCGGACCCACATCTCTGACCAGGCTGGCCTGACGCCCGCCTTGGAGCCACCCACCCCACCCGGAGCAGCGAAACCCAGGGCCTCGCCCGCAGCGGCTCCTCACCCGGCTGGGGTCGAAGGAGGAAGCGCTCTGGTCGCCGGCGCCCCAGGAGCCCGAGCTGGGCCGGTCCTCGAGACCTGCAGGGCGGAAGAGAGAGTCAAGGTCCCCCTCACCCTGTCCAGCTCTGAAGCCACTTCAGTCCCTCTCACCTCAGCGAGAAGCCCTCGCTCGACTCAGCAGGCTTTTTGGGCCCTTCCTGAGCCAGCCCAGCTCTGGAGCCTGTCCAGCCTCACCCAGCTGTGACGCTGCCCACACTGACACCACCATCATCGGGGAGCACCCCAGACACCCTGGCACCTAGCATACCTCCAGGTCTGAAGCTCAAAAATTGGTTCCATCAGCTATCTCTGCTGGCCAACTCCTACCCATCCATCAAAGCCCCAGCCACCACGCCCACCCTGGGCAGAGTCCTCACTCGCACTGAGCCCTCCCTCTGGCTCAGGCCTGACCACAGGGCGCTGGGTCATCTGTGTCAGGCTGTCTCTTCTGACCCTGCGATAAAGGCTCAGGAGAGCATTGGCAAATGGGTGCCGAGTGATGAGCTCTGATCTCGGGTAAGTGGGAGTCTCCCCCTTCCCATCACCACCAATTTGGGAGGCAGGGCCGTCCCTCTGTTGAAGTAACAGTGGCAGCCGCCACTGACGACCCGCCAGGCACAGGCTGGTGGGCCCTCCAGGATGGAACCACATCGCCATCAGGGGCAGTCGGAGGACCGAGGCGCAGCAGGGGTTAACCAGCGTGGGGAGAGGACCTTGGTCTCCAAGGGTGGGGTGTGGCCCTTATCTCCTCAAACACTCCCAGGCCCCGCCCAGGCCCCCCGGAATCTTCCTGCCGGGCAGGCAGTGGTGCCTGGATCCCTCCCAGGCCTCGTCCTGGGCTGGGGGAGCTTCCACTCCATCCCTCGGGGCCAGAGAGCACACGGCCTGGACCAGCAGGAGAGCAGGCCTGGGCCCCCCTCCCTCCGTGCCTCAGTTTCCCTCCCCTGTAAAGGGGTTACGAAGGCTCTACTTCGTAGAACTGGGGTGTCCACGTCCAACTCTGAGTCCGAAGGCTCCCCAAGCCAGGCTGGGGTGGGGAGACGGGGTGGAGGGGCCTGGGCCCGCCGTCTGTCCCAGGCACAAGCCCTCACCTACCCTCGGACCCCACCCGCCCCCTCCAGAATCCTTCACTCGCCCTCCCACCCTCCTGCTCCTCTGCACCAGAAACTTCCTTCCAATTACATCCTTCTATTTTGGTGCCTTCGTGTTAATCATTCCCCCCAGTTAATTGATGTTTACTTGCTAATTTGCATAATTATGCATATTAATCTCCCAGCCCAATGAATATTCATGTGTCTCAATTAGATTTTGTTTTCTAATCCAAAATTTCCACTGTGATTACGGTGGGGGGCTGGGGGGCTGCCTTGGCAGGTGAGGGGCCAGGCAGGGGGCTCCTGTGGTCTCCGGGCATCCACCCAGCATATGCTCCCAGGTTTGGGGTGTCTGCAACCCAAGGTCTTGGACCCCCAACTTGGGCTCCAGGGAGGAGAGCGGCTGGTGAGGCAGGGGTGACCTTAGGCAAAGTGCCAGCGCTCCCTAAGCCTCAATTTCCCTCTACGTGCACTTGCCCGTTGTCCGCTCCCCCTCTGGAAGAGCCCCCACCTGAGAGCGTGTCCTGGCTCTGGGTGGCCCCCACCGCAAGTGGGCACCCACGAGATGTCCCCAGAGGCGCCAGGACCCCGTGGGAGTGAGGGGGGAGGCCACATCCCAAGACCACGGTGCTCCTCGGACCCAAGGCTTGGGGACTCACCCCCCCAGCATGGGCCCAACAAGCTCCTGGCACAGAGGCCACTGCACACTGCTCTGCCCTTTCTGGAAACCGCCACCTCCTTCTAGAAATGACAGAAACAGGGACGGCCCCTCTCCCATCACTCCCATTAATAGAGTTATTAACCCCCCCACCGATTAATTATGCATCTTAATAAACCAGTCATGAATATTCATAACACATTCCTCCTCCATGTTCTAATTAAAACGTACTAATAGAATAAGACGCTGCTGTCGGAGTATAATTTCTTTATGATTTCTCTTTTTTTTAATGCTGGTGGGATGGGGCCGGAACACCTCTCGGCTCAGACCCAGCCCGGCTGCCCTGGGGAGAGGGGGGCTCCGCGGATGGAGCAGGGGGGCCCTGGAGGGGCTCTAGGGGCTGCAGCCCAGGCTGCTGCGGGGATGACGAGGACCGTCGCAGAGCGGGTGGCACATTTGGTGCTCAACAAAGCCGGGTCACCGCCTCGCCGTGTGATCGGCGGCTGGGCCTGATGAAACGGGGGAGCAGGCTTCGGACGGGGCTCAGCAGACACCGGGTCGGGACCGAGTGGCCGTGTCCTGTGCTGGATTCCTCTAGGGCGGGGCTGGCAAACTGCAGCCCTTGGGCCAGGTCCTCCCAGCCTGCTTTTGTAAATGAGGTTTCAGCGGCACACGCTCGTTCGTTGCCGCACGGTCTTCGGCGGCTTCTGCCAGAACAGCAGGGTGGATTCACTGCGACAGAGACCGTGCGGCCCCTTACGGAGAAGGTCGCTGACCCTGGTGTAGAGGAAGATTCCCAGAGCCGGTTCCTCTGTACGAAGCTGCCCAACCCACAGACTTAGTACCAGGAGCGGGGTTACGGTGTGGGACAGGCAGAACCCAGGGGGTCACAGGTCCAGGCACAGCCCCATCCACCGTGCTCCCCAAACCCACAGGCACAGCCAGGGAGCCACCAGCCTGGCCTGCAGCCCAGCTCTGTAGGCACCCCCTCACCCAGGTGCCCAGGCTACAGCCCGGGAGCCATCCTCTCTCCCTCCCTCACTCCCACGGCCTGCCCCGCGTGGCCTCAGGTGGAAGCCTGACACGGCTTTCCATCTCCGAGGTCAGGCCGCGTCCCTCCAGCAGTGTCCTCCCAGGTTTCCCATGCACACTCCACCCTGGGCAGCCGGATGGAGCTTTCGGAAGCAAAACCTGGCTCTCCTCCCTCCCTCAAACCCCTGCCATGGCTCCCCACTGCCCTCAGGGCAGAGACCAGACTCCCCCCAGCACATTCCTTGTCACCCCCAACAAGTGAGCAGACCCTGGCCCACGCCCCTGGCCCAAGCTCTGCCCTAGTGGTCCCCACACCTGCTGTTTCTTCCTCCCACTTCAGAGAAGTCGCCTCCCCGGCCCCCTCTCAGCCTGGGGCCCTCTATGCGACCCCAGCGTCGCCTGCACAGGGCTGGCCCCCCCACGGCCTCCACAACATCCGTTGTCCATTTCTTCGCGGCACCCACAAACAACGTAACATGTCTCCTGTGGGACTCCCCGGGACATTCACAACGTTCTCCTCCTGCTCTGTCCACGGTGGAGGCCACACGTGGCGTCTGAACCGCGGCCAGTGCGACTGGCAGAAAGAATCTCCAATTCTACGCGGCTTTAACTACTGTGAGCTTAGAGCTGGATGGACTCAGCTGCTGCCCTGGGCAGCGCGGCCCCACGAGACAGAGATTAAAATAACAACAACGGCAACAGTAAGAACCACCACCACGCACCAGGATCACATCGGGGGAGAGACGCACACTGACGCCTCAGGAACAACTCTCCGGCAGGCGCGCCCGTGACTGCTTTCTTCGCGCAGTTTACCTGGCACTGCGACCCCGAGCCTGTCGGCTCCCCCTACCCGGGCTTTCCTCTCATCATCAAAACCTCTAAGACCCCAGCTGCAGCCTGTCGGGCTGCCCTGTGCCCCTGGGGTCTCCCAGCGGGGCAAGAGCGACAGCGGGTTGAATTTGGGGGCAGCCCTTCCTCTCGGGGGCTGTGGGCTCCCACAAGCCAGGGGGCCCTCTCTTCTCGTGATTTCCTTTTTGGGCCACTTTTTAATTTTCGTGTCCTTTCAAACTCGGCGGAAGGCTGCAGGGGACTCCAGGACGGCCCAGGCCGGCTCGCCGCTCATGGCCGCCCCCCCCCCCCCCCCCGGCACCTGCCCTTTGCGTTTATGAGCAAGTGTGCTTTCTTTTCTGGTCTGTCTGTAGAATTTTAAATTTTAATAAGATTTCCAGGGCTGGCGGTGGCCGAAGGCTCCGCCTAACGCTCCCTGAGCTCTGAAAAGCTTCAGGAATGAGGGAGAAAGCATCGCCCCTGCCCCGACTCCAGGCGGGAGGCCCGGGGTGGCTCAGGGCCTGTGTCGGATCTGCCCTGGATGAGGGGGGCAGGAAAGCAGGGGCCCTCATGCCACCCCTGAGCAAGTGGATCTGAGGCTGAGAAGTGGGTGGAGGCCACACCCCACCCCTCCTAAGAGTAGGGGGTCCCCCGGGGCCCCCAAAGTGGCAGGCCCTACCCCTGAGCAGTGCAGTAAGTTGTGTAGGCAAAATGGGCAGCCTCGTCTACCAGGATCAGGGGCTTCGCTCCAATCCCCTCTCCCCAACCCCTGGACAGCAACCCCCAGCCCCGGGGCTTCCCTGGTGGGCAGCAGAGTTGGCCCTCCAATGGGGGCCCCACAAATATGCAGTAATTTGGGGGAGTGCAGAAGCTGTCCCACCCCCTCCCTCCTGCGAATTTCAGATCCATGACCAGACAGACAACAGAAAGACCCCTGCGGCTTCAGGCTCGAGGGGGACCAGGTGGTACGGAGCGTGGGGACGGGAGAATCGCCTGCCCCCAAATCCGAGCTCTGAAAACAGCCCAGGCCGTCTCTGTGAGAAGACACAGTGGGAAACAGACGTGGACACCAAAGATGGGGCAAGTTCCAGGATTCGGCGTTCACCCCGGAAACAGACGCACACCTGGGACAGCAGCCGCCCCGCCCTCAGGACGGTACAGAGCACATGGGTTCTCGGGTCTAGAACGAGGAGATGAGAGAGAGAGAGAGAGAAACTACGGAAAGAAGTGAACGCAACAAATCCACGGGGGAGTTTAAAAGCAGAACCGATGATGCAGAAAAGACGATCAACGGGAAAGAGGGCGCGTTCTGGAAACATCCCGCAACACAGAGGAAAAGAAGGGGCTCTGAGACGACAGACATGAAGACCCAAACTGAGACCCGCCATGGGAGAGCCGGCCTTCCAGAAGGAACGGGAGAAACACCCACA